GTGCCAAGTGCCTCCTGCAAACTGACCATGTGTGTGGAGGTAAAAGGCCATTTTACATACAGAGCAATATACAATAATGCATCAGCTAATGTCCTCGCAGCTGGGGCAGAGCTGTCCCCTGTCCAGCACAAACAAAAACTATTCTGGGCCGTGACCTGCCACAAACCTCAGCCCACGCGCGACAATTACAGTGTCACCAGAAGCGCCACCGCCACATCCCGGCACGGCCACCGCCAGAGCAGGTCCGACTGTCCTCTCCTGTTCCCTCCGTCCCCTCCTGTCCCCTTTGGTCCCCTCCTGTCCATTCCTGTCCCCTCTGTCCCCTCCGGCATGGACCCCGCGGTGCCCAGGGCCACGCTGAAGGTGCTGGCGCTGTGCGCGGCGCTGCTGGTGCTGGTGGCGGCGGTGACAGTGGCGGTGGCGGTGTCGCTGTGGCGCTCCGAGGCGCTGGGGCAGCTGCAGGGCTGCCGGGAGCGGGCAGTGAACGAGAGCCGGGAGCTCGGGACCCACCTGGGGGAGCTGGAACGGGACCGGGAGCGGCTGCGGAGCGACGGGGACACGCTGCGCCGAGAGCTGGCACGGGCACAAGGGGACAGCGCCAGGGACAATGCCAGCCTCGTGTCCTGCCGGGAGCGCGCGGTAGGTGGCCGGAGGGATGGGGACAAATCCGTTGTCCCCATAGGTGGCCAGGAAATGGGGACAAGGTGTTCGGTCACTTTGGGGTGGCAAAGAGGATAGGGACAGCACTCCCTGTCCCCTCAGCAGTGTCCTCTGTCCCTCCCTCCCTGGCCAGCAGCCAAGCCCGGGGGCTGCTCCATCCCTGTTCCCCGTTCCAGCCAGGATGGTGAGCTGGGACACGGGCACAGCCACCTGGGGGAGACAGCCGCCACCTCCCTGCAGGGGACACCCCAAAAACAACCTCTGGATGCTCCCAAGGGGGCAGAGCCGTCATATCCCTACAGGGACACCCCAAAAACGAGCCCAGCATGCTCTTGGCTCCATTCTAGGGGAGCAAAGTCGCCCCATCCCTGCAGGGGACACCTCAAAAACGAGCCCCGGCTGCTCCCCGCTCCGTCCCGCTCCCGGCGGGGCCGCTGTTCCCGGCTCCATCCCGGTAATTACCGGGTCCCGAGGCAGTGCCGGGGCCGCAGCTCCCGGTTTGTCCTTCCCGGGTATTTTTAGCTGCGGTTGCAGCTGGGGAAGGGCCCGGAGGAAGAGCCGGGTCCCGCCGCCCCTCTCGGGCTCATCCGGCTGAACAATGGCCCGGAGAGGCTGGAAAATGTCCCCGTTTCCCGGGGCTGGCGCCGGGAGCTGGGTAGGGCTGGGCAGCCTCTTGGAGAGCTCCTGTCCCCCTGTCCCCTCCCTGGCACCAGCGATGACACCCGCGGGGTGACCTCGGCCTGCTGGGACAGGTCACATCTCCCCCAGGATGAGTGTCACCTCAGAGAGGAGGGATTGTCCCCAAAGCCCCGTCCCCAACCCTTTGAGGAACGTGATGGGAGGGGCACAGGCACCCAAGGCCACCAGGAGCGTGGGAACACTTGGGGACATGGGTGACCTGGAGCTCTCCTGTGCTCCCCACCCTCAGGATGAGCCATCCCTCCAGGGCAGGGGGATTGTCCCCAAATCCGTGTCCCCACCTTGGGAGAAGGATGTGAGGGGGACCCAAGGCCACCAGGAGCGTGGGGACAGCTTGAGGACATGGGGGGACAGTGAGGCAGAGGAGCAGAAGGGCTCTGGCAGCGGATGAAGAGTCGGGGGAGTGGACACTGCCCACCGCTGTTCCCACGTATCCCCTGTCCCCAGGCCAGGCTGGAGGCCAATGTCACCGCGCTGGGGAACGAGCTGGTGGCGCTGCGGCGGGAGCGGGCCGAGCTGGCCGGTGACAAAGTGACGCTGCAAGGTGAGCTCTGCCCCGCGCCAGGAGCCCGGCCCGGGAGGGCTGCGCTCCGTCCTGGCGTGACCAGCCGGTGTCGCCGCTGTCCCCAGAGGAGGTGGCGCGGGGCGCGGAGCAGGCGCGGGGGCTCCGGCGGCGGCTGCAGGAGGCGCTGGAGCAGCAGCGGGAGCTGTGGGAGCGCCGGGAGCGCTGCGAGGGGCGACAGCGGGAGCTGCAGGACAGCCTGTAAGGGCTCTGTCCCCCGGGACACCCTCTATCCCTCGGGAACATCCCCCTGTCCTTCGGTGACATCTCTCTGTCCCTCGGGGATATCCCCCTGTCAGGTCCTTGTCACCCTCCTTAGGGTGGGCCACCCCCAGAGCAGCCATCCCCTCACTCTTGTGACAACCTGTCCTGTCCCTCCCTCCTCATGGGGACCCCCGTGTGTCCCCGCAATCCCCTCCTGCCCTTTCCTGTCCCTGTCCCTCCTTGGCGACCCCCTGTCCTGTCCCTCGTCCCCTTGGGTACCCCCCGTGTCCCCACCCGGGGTCAGGGTCACCCCCCGACGTGGCTCCGCTGTCCCCGCAGCCGGGACTACGCGGCCGAGCTGGAGGCGCTGCGGCGGCGGGCCCGGGACAGAGGCAGCGGGCGCAGGTGTCCCCCGGGTCACCGGTACTGCGGGGGGGGACAGAAGGGGGAGGGGGGACAGAGTGAGGGGACAGAACGGGGAAGGGGGGACAGACCGAGGGGACAGAACGAGGAGGGGGGGACATCCGGAGAGGGGGGACAGCCCAGAGAGGGGGGACAGAGTGAGGGGACAGAACGGGGAAGGGGGGACAGAGTGAGGGGACAGCCGAGGAGGTGGGGACAGCCCGGGGAGGGGAACAATCCGGGAAAGGGACACCCCGGGAAGGTGTCACAGCCCACGGACTGGGAGGTCCCGCAAGGGGGGACATCCCGGGAGGAGGAGACAGCCCCGGGAGGAGGCACAGCAAGGAGCGGCGGTGTCACTGCCATTGTCCCCAGGGCAGCAGGGCCCGTGCGGGACTCACTGCCCGTCCCTCCACCCTTGCAGGAAGGGCTGAGGTCCGCAGCCCCCCCGGCCTCCCCAGCGAGCGCCACATCCCCGTTGTCGCAGTGTCCCCAGCGCTGCCACCTGCGGGGCTGGCCCAGCCCCGGAGAATCCAGCGCAGCGCGGGAGCTGTGGGGGTGGGAGATGGTCCTGATCCCATTGATCCCCGATCCCATTGACCCTGCATCCCACTGATCCCATTGATACCCGACCCCATTGATACCCAATCCCATCAATCCTTAATCCCATTGATCCCATCGATCCCTGATACCACCAAGATTCCCGATCCTATTGATCCCTGATCCCATTGATCACAGACCCCACTGATCCCTGATCCCACTGTGATCCCTGATCCTATTGACCCCATTGATCCCCGATTCCATTGATCCCTGACCTGTTGATTCCATTGATCCCTGATCCCTGGCCCCACAGGGTCCCAATCCCATCCCATGTCCTGATCCCATCCTGTGTCCTGATCCCAACCTCAATCCCGATCCCATCCCAATCCCACTGCGCCCCGACCCCTTAGTGCTGCCACCCCGTGTCCCTGTCCCGCCGTGTCCCCATCCCGTGTCCCAGCTGGACAGGGGACACAGGGGTCCCTTCTCCACTTTTTTGGGGCAGTTTCGGCTCATCCTGGGCACAGATTTCCCTGAAATCCCCTCTGGGGGCTCCGGCCATATCCACAGCACTCCAGAACCCGGGAACAGCGGGAATTTGGGGGATTTTGGGAACACTGGGCAATAAAAGCTGCACTGCTCACCGGGACATCTCCCTGTATCACCAGCCCGCTGTCCCCTCTCCCTCTGACCCCAACTGGCCCCTCCCCAAACTCCAGGGATTTCTCCCATCCTGGATTCTAACGGCTCTGCCAGGGACCCCAAAACACCCCGAGGGGGGACTGGGGGACACAGAGCCACTCCCGTGCCGTGGAGCCACCCCCGGTGTCTGTCCCCGGACGGGGACATCGCTGCCACGGTGGCTCCGCCCAGCCGGGAATGGCAGAGCCGGGGTTGTCACCGTGTCCCCACCCCAGTCCTGGTCCCTGCAGGTCCCTGGGCGTTGGGGTGGCCTTGGGGTCACCTTGGCGACATGGAGGGGACCCAGCGCAGGGAACAGGGTGGAGTTTGGGGTGTCATGGTTGAAGGGGGGGGTGTGGGGGTGTGACACGGCCCTTTTGTCCCTCAGTGCCACCTCAAACCGGGTGTCTGGGGGTGTCCAGGCCCTGCTGCAGCCACTGTCCCCCTGTCCCCATCCCACGGGGATGTCGTGATCCCCCAGCCCCGCAGGACGCCCGGGGGGTTCCGGGGTGCCCCGGGGGGTTCGGGGAGTTCGGGGGGGCCGGGCCGCGGGGCCCGCAGGGCGCTGACCCCTGGCCGGTGGCTGTTTCCTGCCCTGGCTGCTCCTCGTCCCTCGGGGACAGGGAAGTGTCTGCGATGGCCCGGCCGGTGTCGCTGCCGGAGCCATTCTCAGCTACCGCCGCTTCCTTTTCCTGAGCTGCAAATAACAGTGAGTCACCCGCGGAGACACTGCCACCCCCCCGAGGGGGCCACTGCCATCCCTGACACCCCCTGAGGGGGCACTGCCACCCCCACCCTCCCGAGGGGACACTGCCACCCTTGAGGGGACACTGCCACCCCCGCCCCCCGCGCCGCCGGTGTCACCTTTGGGATGCCCCATCCCGGATCCCATCCCGAGGGTTCCTTGCAGCCTCCCGGGACCCCACAGATTCCCCCCACCCCGTCCCATTTCCAAATTAACAGCCCCAATTAACCCTCCGCCCTGATTAACTCATCCCCACACCGTGGGAACTCTGTTCCCAGTTCAGGAGCAGTCGTTCCCAGTTCCCCTCCCCATTCTGGCGGGGAATGCTGCTCGGGCCCCACCCGGGTTTGGGGTTTGGGATCTCCCCGATCCCGGGGAGCCGCTGGGAGAGCCCCAGGGGACACCGGGATGTCACCTCTGTCCCCTCCCGGCGTGTCGAGGGGCTCGTAGTAGGGGGGGGCCGGATGCGTCGCTGCCCTTTGCACAGGATGCGGCCGCAGGAAAATCCAACTTTCCTGGAAACCCGCTTCAAAGCGGACCCAAGGATGCTGGGAAGCCACGGCAGAGCTGCTCCGGTCCCTGTCCCCGTCCCTGCCTCGCCTCGCTCGGTGCCACCCGAGCTGTCCCCGTCCCCGTGTGCCACCCCCGTGCCACCCTCGGGGTCCCCCCGGCACCCCCGGGGACCCACCCTGCGCTCCCGGCGGGATCAGCGCGGCAATTCCGGTGCCGGAGGTGGGAGTTTTGGGGTGGGAGGCAATTCCAAATAATTCCAAACAATACCAGGCAATTCCAGGGCACCAGGCACCAAAATGGGGATCGGAGGAATTGAATCCCATGATTTTGGAGCAGGAGGCAATTCCAGGGATGCGCTGGGCACCAAAATGGGTTGCAAGGAATGGAATCCCACTTTTTTTCTCCATCTCCACTCCAGAAACAACAATCCCAGCAGATGCTGTGCTCTGATCACCCGGTGGGATCGAATTCCCTGGAATTTCCACGCTGAGAATGGGAATTTTGGGGCAGGAGACAATTCCAGGGGCACTAAAAGGGCATGGAGGGAACGAAATCCCATTTTTTTCCCCCTCCACTCCAGGAACAACAATCCCAGCGCCCTGATCACCCAGCGGGATTGAATTCCCTGCAATTCTCACCCCGGGAGTGGGAATTTCGGGGCAGACACTTCCAGGGGTGTGCCGGGCACTAAAATGGGATGGAGGGAATGAAATCCCATTTATTTTTTCCCCTTCCACACTTCAGGAACAACAATGCCAGCAGAAGCTGTGCCCTGATAACCCGGCGGGTCCCCGGGAGCATCCGGCACGGCAGGAAGGAGCCTGGCAGGAGGAAATATTAAATCCTGGGATATAAACACGGCGTCGGGAGCAGCCCCGCCCCAGTGCGGCCCCCCTGAAAAGCGCGGTCCCGGCGGGGTGGGGCGGCCAGAGCGGCGGCGAGGATGGAGAAGAGCAGCTTCGCCATGGCCAAGTTCGGGCTGGAGCACAAGGAGGCGATGCCGAAGCGCGATTGCGGTTTTTACCTCAAATACATTTTCCTTTTCACCTCGCTGATCCAATTCCTGATCATCCTGGGGCTCGTGCTCTTCATGGTGTACGGGAACGCCCAGGCGGGCACCGACACCCACCTGAGGCTCCTGGAGGAGCAGGTGCAGAGCCACTACCGCAGGATTGTCACCCTGAGCGCCACCAACGCCAACCTGAGCCGCGCGCTCAACGCCACCCTGAAGGACAAGGACAAGCTGCAGGGGATGGCGCTGAAGGTGCAGAGGGAGCTGGAGAAGTGTAACAGTAGCCAGGCCTCCAGCAGCATCCCGCAGGTGACTCCCGGGGGAGGGTGGCACCGCTGGCAGGTGACGCTGATGTTGCCTGCTTGTCCCTTGGGGTGGTGGCGGCGAGGGGAGCCCAGAAAGTGCCAGGGGGTTTTGGTCAAGGGGTCTCCAATCTTGGGGTTCTCTTCCTTCTCCTCTTCTTCCTACCTACAGCTCTCCCAGAGTTCCTGAAGGGGTGCCTGGGGATCCTTTCAGGATGTTCTGACCCCTCTCCTCTTCCTCCTCATCCCCCGGGCTCTCTCTGAGGCTTGTGGGGACCGGGATGATGCTGGGGGAGTTTTTGGGGTGTTCTGACCCCTCTCCTCCTCCTCTTCCTCCCATTCCCCCAGACCTCTCCCAGAGCCCACAAGGAGATGCTGGGGGGTCCTTTTGGGATTCTCTGACCCCTCTCCTCCTCTTCCTCCTTCTCCTTCTCCTCCTCCTCTCCAAGTCCTGGTGTCTCATTCTCAAGGTGTTTGTGGGATCCTCTGACCCCGCTCCTCTTCCTCCTCCTCCTCATCCCCTGGGCTCTCTCTGTTACCTCTGGGGACTGGGATGGTGCCGGGGGTGTTTTTGGGATGTTCTGACCCCTCTCCTCCTCCTCCTCCTCCTCTTCCTCCCACGCAGCTGCGGGAGCTCCTGTTCCGGCAGGTGAGGCTGACCGAGTGCCAGGTGATCACCACCCTCATCAACACCACCTGCAATGGTAAGAGACACCCCCAGCCCCAAAAAACCCCTGGGCACCCAACTCTCCCTCCCCACCTTTCTGGGCACCCCCAGCACCCCCACGTGACCTGCACCAGTCACCGCAAGCCACGGGGTGGCACCTGGGGGAACCCAAACCCCCAGATCCCAAATCCCCCAGAGCCAAACCCTGTCCCCCAACTCCCCCCAAAGCCGAGAAGCTGCAGCTGCAGCGGCAGCTGGACCAGGCCAGCTCATCCAAGAAAAGCCTGGAGGACAGCGGGCGGCAGAGCCAGGCTGAGCTGGCCAAAGCCACCCGTGAGAGGGACAGGTGCCAGCAGGACCTGCAGAGCGCCAGGACCGAGGGCGACCTGAGCAGGATGGAGCTGGAGGTGCAGAAACACCGCTGCAGCTCCCTGCAGAGCGATGTGAGCGAGAAAATCCTGAGGATTTCGGAGCTGGCCAAGCAATACCAGTGCAAAGAAGCCGAGAAGGAGCTGGGGCAGATCCGGGACCGCGTGGAGGGGCTGCTGCGGCGGCAGCAGGAGCGCGACGCGCACTTCGTGTGGAGGAGCAGCTGTGAGCTGAGCGTGCAGCAGTGCCGCCACAACTGCTCCCGCGACACGCAGGAGCTGCACAAGAGGATCCAGGGCCTGGAGAAGCGCGAGAAGGACGGCGAGGAGGAGAGGAAGAGGATGCAGGCGGAGAAGGAGAAGGTGGGGAAGGAGCTGGAGGAGAAGAGGAAGGAGGCAGCGGCGACGGCGGAGTCACTGAGGCAGCAGCTCGGGGTCTGCATGGGAACCAAGGTGGGGACACGGGGACACAGGGAACTGGGGACATGGGGCACTGGGGACACGGGGACACAGGGACATGGGGACATGGGGAGAGGACATTGGGGCACTGGGGACATGGGGTTGGGAACATGGGGACATGAGGACTCCCATGGGGACATGGGGACTCCCATAGGGACATGGGCACGGGCACCTCTACACGGGGGTTTTCCTTCCTGACGCCTGGATTTTGTTTAAGTGGGAATTTCCTGCTGAGGGCGGTGCCACCCCTGAGCAGTGCCCCCGCTGTCCCCCCAGATGTCCCACCTGGACCTGCCGGGCTCGCGGGTGCCGGGCAGCACCGCCCGCTCAGGCTCCTTCCCTGGCACGGGCACCTACATGGAGCTCCTGAAGAACCCGGCCACCCTGGGCACCATGGGTGAGTCCCTGGGGGGACTGGGGACACGCTGGGGGGTCACCATGTCCCCTGGGTGCCCATCCCATCAATCCCATCGCAATTCATGGATCCCACCCCAATCCCACGGATTCCATCCCATCCCAATCCCATCCCAATCCCACCCCACTCCCATCAATCCCATCAATCCCAATCCCATCAATCCCAATCCCATCAATCCCAATCCCATCAATCCCAATCCCATGGATCCCATCCCAAATCCACCCCGCTCCCCTGGATCCCATCCCATGGGTCCCACCCCAATCCAGCAGGAATGCAGAACCCGGCAGAGCTCCAGCAGATGCTGCAGCTGATGGAGCAGTACACGGCCACCCTGAAGAACGCCAGGTGAGGGGACAGAGGTGACACCAGGCCACCCTCCCCGGGCCACCCAGGGCTCCCAGAGGTGCCCCCGCCCTGATCCCATTTTCCCACAGTGGATAACGCTGGAAAATCCCATGGAAAACCAGGAGTGCCGCCCAGGAAGTGCTTCCCGCAGTACGGATGGCAACCCCTGCCCCAGGGCCACCCTCCCTCTGTCCCTTTGTCCCCGTGTCCCCAACCCCACCCCGTGTGTCCCCTCAGATGTATCCCTGCCTCTCGGCTGGAGCGGGACAACAGCTGGCCCCAAATCTGGGGACAACTCGCTGCTCGTGTGGGTGGAAATTCATGGGAAAATCGGGAATTTTGGGAGCGGGAATTCCACACAGAGGGGTGGGACACACCCGAGGGACAGGGATGTCCTTGTCCTCAAAGGATGGAGGACAGCGCTGCCCTTGTCCTCCCGCCCTGAATTTGGGGACAACATGCCACTCCTGCAGATGGAAATCCATGGAAAAATTGGGAATTTTGGGAGCGGGAATTCCGCACAGAGGGGTTGGACACGCCTGAGGATGAGGCACAGGGATGTCCTTGTCCCCAGAGGATGAGGGACAGCGCTGTCCTTGTTCCCCAGCCCTGAATCTGGGGACAACTCGCCACTTGTGTGGATGGAAATCCATGGAAAAATTGGGATGGGGAGCGGGAATTCCATCCCAGCTCTGCACAGAGGGGTGGGAAATGCCCAAGGACGAGGCACAGGGATGTCCTTGTCCCCAAAGGATGAGGGACCACGCTGTCCTTGTCCCCCTGGGCCCCCCCGGAGTGGGGCAGGAATTTATTCCCAGGATTTATTCCTGGGATTTACGGCTGCGTTTCCTGTGGAAAATCCTTTTCCTGCCCCGCCGTCCCTGCCCGCACGCCAGGCGCCACCGAGGCCTCCCGGAGTGTCCCTTGTCCCTTTCCCCATCCCAAGTGTCCCCCAAGCTGTGTCTGTGCCAGGAGAAGGGCACTGCCACCTCCTGGGTGGCGATGCCACCACCCCCCCACCTCCTGCCCAGCCCCAGGGTGGCACCGTGGTGACAAAAGTGACAAGGGTGACAAAAATCTCACTGTCCCTGAAGGTCCGGGGGGGCCTCAGGCACTGCCAGAGGATTTCCTGGAATTCCTCCATGGATAATCTCGGAGCACCAGGTGCTTCCCGAGCTCCCGCCCAGGGGATAGCACAGGGGGGTGGCACAGGGGTGTCCCCAGGAGATGCCACCATTTTTGGGGTGGCAGAGCACCAGCAAGAGCCCACATCTGCCACGGTTTGGGGGAATTCCGTGGATTGGGATGGATCCTGGGGGTCTCAAACCCCTCAGGCTGGATCCTTGGGGTTAGAGGGCATAGGGATGTGCCCCATGTCACATTGGGGATGGGGACACCCCAAATGGGAACACCAGGGGTGGCTTTTCCCCTCCAGCTCCTGGTTTGTCCCCCTGGCCAGGAATTGGGACTTTTCTCAGGGTTTTTTTTCCCACATTTGGGGCTTGGGACACACTCCCAGACACGGCCACCAGCGAGGGGACAACACCAAAGCCACCAAAGGCACCACGGTTTAATCCTGGCGACACCACACCCCAGGGAGTGCCACTGTCACTTCCCCACACAAAAATCCCTAAAAATGATATCCAGGATATCCTCGGCGCCCACATGCCCGGTGATCCTGCCCAGCTCCCGCCGTGCCACCCGCAACTGCTCGGCTGCCACCGCCAGGTCCCCACTGTCCCCAAGGTCCCCAAAGCGCTCCAGGGCCGCCGCGCACGCCCCGAGGTGGCGGCTGTGCCTGCTCTGAGTCAGGCTGGGAGAGCCCAGGAGGGGATCCCCGCACCTGGAGGGTGGGAATGGGAATAGAATGGGTTGGGATGGGATGGGATGGGATGGGATGGGATGGGATGGGATGGGATGGGATGGGAATGGGAACAGGAACGAGAAAGGGAATGGAATGGAAAAGGGATCAGGAATGGGGAAGTGATTTGGAACGGGAAAGGGGATTGGAAACAGAAAAGGAATCAGGAATGGAAAAGGGGATCAGGAAGGGAAAAGGGGATTGGGAAGTGAAAGGGATCAGCCATGGAAAAGGGGATCAGCCATGGAGAAGGGGGATCAGCCATCCCCATAAACCAGGAAGAGGGTTTGGGACCCCCCGGACTCACAGCTGTGCCAGCTGTTGTGCCAGCAGCTCCAGCAGCGCCTCCAGCCCCTCGCCCGTCTTGCAGGACAGCAGGGTGGCAGGGGGTCCCTGGGCTCCGGTGGCACTCGGGGACCCCCCGTGCCCCCCCAGCAGGTCGGCCTTGTTGAGCACCAGCACGCAGGGGGTGCCCGGGGGCGGCTCCAGCGCCGCCAGCGCCGCCCCCAGAGCCACCGGCGTGGGTGACACCGAGGTGGCATCCAGCACTGCCAGCACCAGATCAGCCTGGCACAACCTGGGGACACACGGGGTGATGTCACCATCCGGACTGACACCCCAAACCCCCCCCAAACCCCCCAAAACCCCCAAGACTCACCGGGCCCGTGCCCGGGCCACGCCCTCGCGCTCCACGGGGTCGGTGGCCTGGCGCAGCCCCGCGGTGTCACTGAGCACCAGCGGGTACCCCCCAATGTCCAGGGCCACCTCCAGCACGTCCCGGGTGGTGCCCGCTGTGGGGGACACGATGGCGGCCGGGCGCCGACCTGGGGACAGCGGGAATGGTCCGGGGGCTTTGGGGATTATCCCAACCCCTCCACGCCCGTGGGTGACCTGGGGACAGCGGGAATGGTCTGGGGGGTTTGGGGATTATCCCGGGCCCTCCACATCCTGTCCCCACCATGGGTGACATGATGGCCTGGGGACATCAGGAATGGTTCCCTCTGGAATTCTGAGCATTGTCCCAACCCCTCCACGCCTGGTCCCCACCCCAGGTGCCATGATGGCCTGGGGACAGCAGGAATGGCTCCCGTCTGCCCCCATGGCCCACTCACAGAGCAGGTTGAGCAGGCTGCTCTTGCCCACGTTGGGGGGGCCGGCGATGACGGCCCGGACCCCCCCCCGCAGCAGCTCCCCACGACGCCCGTCCCGCAGGTGGCCCTGGAGCTCCTGCAGCAGCGCCCGCACGGTGACAGCCACTGCGGGGACACAGCGGGGTCAGCCCGGCTGGGGACAGCAGGGACACAGCAGAGACAGCCCAGCTGAGGACAGCGGGGACACGGTGGGGTCAGCCCAGCTGGGGACAGCGGGGACATGGCAGGGTCAGGTCGGCTGGGGAGAGTGGGGCCTGAGCCCCAGGTTGGGGAAAAACACCAGGAGAGACCCCGGGTCCTGATCCCTAAATCTGGGATAAAAACATCAGGAAGAGGCCCCATATCCCAGCCAGGGGGACAAACAAGGACCTGGAGTGGCTGGATGGGACAAGCCCCCCTGGACGTCTCCATTGCCAGAGTGACACCATGGGGACACAGCCATGACGTGGGGACAGCAGGGGCTCACCTTGGGCCAAAACCTCTTCCTCCACATTGTCATCCTCGCTGAAGTCAATGTAGGCCTCCAGGTGGGCGAGCGCCTGCCATTGGGATGGGAGTCACCCCTGAGCTGCTGGCCACCCAGGAGGGCTCGGTGGCCACCTGGGAGGGCTCAGTGGCCACTTGGGAGGGCTCAATGGCCACCTGGGAAGGCTCAGTGGCCACCCGGGAGGGCTCGGTGGCCCCGCAGGTGACCCCACCTGGGTGAGGGAGTGGCTCCAGCGCTGGTAGAGCCGGCCCAGGTCCCCCTCGAGCTGCCGGAGCGCCTGGCGCCGCTGCGCCTCCGTCTCGGCCCCGATCAGGTCCCGCAGGCCCTCGGCCGCCGTCAGGTCCAGCTTGCCGTGGGCAAACGCCCGGCGCGTGAACTCGCCTGGCTCGGCCGGACGCAGCCCCGGCAAACGGCCTGGGGAGCACCGGGCACGGCGGGGACAGCAACATGGAGGGGGTCCCGGGAACGGGGGGACAGGAGGAATCCCCAGGGTCCCAAAGGGATGGGGGAAATGGGATGGGAAGGATCAGGCAGAACCCCAAGGATCCCAGAGGGAAGGGGGAAAGGGGAAGAGGAAATGGGGTGGGGGCAATGGGACAGGGGATTCCCCAGGATCCCAAAGGGAAGGGGGAAAAGGGGAAGGGAAAATGGGACAGGGGATGATCAGGCAGAAGCCACAGGATCCCAAAGGGAAGGAGGAAAGGGGATGGGGGGAAATGGGACAGGGAGGATCAGGAAGAACCCCCGGGATCCCAAAGGGAAGTGCACAAAATAAAGGGGGAAGAGGGATGGGGAAGGATCACCCGGCATCCCAAGGAGAAGAGGGAAAGGATCAGGGGAGCTAAGAAAGGGGCAGGAGGGATGGAATAGGATCAGGATGGGATGGAATAGGATCAGCAGGGATCAGGGTTCACCCAGGACCCACAGCACCCCAAGGGGCAGGAGGGGTGGGAATAGGGGCAGTGTGGGATGGGAACAGAGGCAGCATGGGATGGAATAGGGTCAGGAGGGATGGAATAGGAGCAGGATAGGATGGAACAGGGTCAGGAGGGATGGAATAGGATCAGGATAGGATGGAACAGGGTCAGAAGGGGGTCGGGGCTCACCCAGGGCCCGCAGCACCCCGCTGACCACGGCGGGCCCCCCGTGCACGTGCAGCTCAGCGCAGTCCTCCCCGGTGAAGCTGTGGGGCCCTGTGAGCACACGGGGCTGGGTGGGCACCCCCAGCTGCCAGGCAGCCCCCCCCACACCGTGACACCCCAAAAACGGCCTTGGGGGAGTGCCAGGAGAGACCCTTCCCTAGAAGCAGCTCCATGGGATCAGTGTAAGGGTGACTCCAACCCCAGAGCCCAGGGGGCTCTGCCAGGCCCCAGGACCCCCACAGGGCACTGAGCCCCCCAAACCCCAATCCCTGCCCCAAACCCATGTCCTCAACCCCAAACCTGTGTCCCCCAACCCCAATTCATGCCCCCCAAATCCAAACCCATGTCTCCAACTCTGAACCCCCTATTCATGTCCCCACCCCGTGACCCCAAGCCCCATCCCCATGTCCCCATCCCTGTGTCCACACTCCATCCCTATGTCCCCAGCCATGTCCCCATCCCCATGTCCCCATCCCCGTGTCCCCAGCTGTGTCCCCAGTGTCCCCACCTGGGAACCACACCACCAGCCCCCTGTCCAGGCTCTCGTCCGTCTGGGGGTCCCGGATGCGCCGCAGGGCCATGACACGGGGCGGGGGCAGCCCGGGGGTCCCGGCCAGGCTGCGCAGGGCGGCCCCGCAGCCCGGCCCACTGGCCCGGATCACGGCCACGCCGCAGCGCCCCGGCGCCGAGGACAGCGCGAAGATGGTGTCACCTGTGCCCGGGGAGCCACCTGTGCCCCTGGCAGCAGCTGTGCCCGCCGCGGGTGGCACTGAGCTCAGCACCCGAGCACACCTGGGGGGGATGGAGGGGGCGTTATGGGCACACCCCGGTGGTCACACAGCGGGGACGACCCCCGTGGGCACCCAGGGGTGTGCTGGCCTCCCCGTGGACCCCCTCCCCAGGTGACCCTTCTCCCCCTGGATCCCCTCCCCAGGTAAGATCCCTGCCCATGGATCCCTTTCGCAGGTGAGACCCCCTCCCCAAATCCTGCCCCTCCCCAGGTAATTCTCTCCCCAGGTACCCCCAAACCTCGGCTCACCCACTCCCGTAACCCCCCATCCTCGTGTCCCCCTGCCCCCTCTATCCCTCTGTGCCCCCTGTCCCTCTGTCCCCCCGTCCCCTTTGTCCCCCTGTCCCCTCACCTGCCCCTCGCCGCCCTCATGGCCCCGCTCAGCGCCATCGCTGCCCTCCCCGCGCCCGCCTGGCCCCGCCCACCGCGGCACGCCATTGGCCAACCCACCGAAGGGGCGTGGCAACCGCCGCACGGGCCTCAGCGTCCCCTCCCATTAACGCACGCTATTGGTCAATACACATCGGAAGGCGGGGCTAACGGTGAATCTCGGCTTCTGATTGGTCAACATGCAAAGATGGCGGCGCCCTGGGTGAAGCCACGCGAACCCCGCGGTTCCGCCCGGCCCGGTGGGAAACACGATTTAAATTTTTATAAAATTTATATCTATTTCTACTGCAATAAAATCTAAATATTTATAAAGTGCATTAAGGGATAAAAGGGTTTAAATCCAGCGCTGAGGTGCTTGGCTGTTTGCTTGATATTTCTATTTTTATATTTTTAATTAATTTGTTTTTATTCGTATTTATTGATATGAATATGCAGGTACTCCCTGTAATGGAGAAATCTGTAAAGAACGTGGTTTAAGTTAAATAAATATAAACATAAATGCAAATATAAATATATTAAATAAACCTTTTTTAATATATAAATTATATATATTTAATATCATATAGTGGTCGTTTATATTAAATATATCTTATTTATATATAAATATAAAAGATAAAATATATTAATATTTATTCAACTTAAATAATATTCTCTCTAGACTCCATTGCAGGAGTTCATGCACATATATTAGAGTTTCTATTAAAAGATTTCTTTGCGTTTAGACATTTTTTTTTGCTTGGTTTTAACTTTTGATTTGTCTTTTCGCCATCTTGTAGATTAAACCAATATATTTTAATTCTTCTTGTGGTTAAATAATGATAATAATAATGATGATAATAACGATAATGATAATATAATAATGTATGCGTAAAGTATTAATATTAATCAATATTATGAAAGTTATATGTTAACATAATGTGTAATATAATTATAATCAATATTGTAAAACAATATTGATCATTGATTGATGATGATAATGATGATGATGATGATTATTATTATTATCATCATCATCATCATTCTGATTCCCAAAATCTGGGCTCAGGTTCCAGCGGGGATACAGCCAGGGAGGGACTGGGGTAAACTGGGATGGACCGGTCCGGACTGGGACAGACCGGCACGGCCCCGCTGACCCCGTGCCCCCCCCGCCCCCCAGTCCCGGGCCTGGCAGTGCCACCCGTGCCCCCCCGTGCCAGCGGCGGGGACAGTGCGGGGACATCTCCCGGTGGCACCGGGCCCAGCCGGGCCCCCCCCGATTCCCACATCGCGGGGGTTCCGGGTGGGACCCCCGGCCTGGGGGGCTTTGGGGGGACCCCCAGTGATTGGGGCTCTGGGGGGGGCTGGGGGGGGCTTTGGGTGGGGGCGTTTTGTGAGGTTTTAGGGATGGCTTTGGGTAGCTTTGGGGGGGATCCCCCCGTGCCGGGGGGCCGCTCTGGGGGAGGGGGGGGTCACCCAAAATGTCAGCGGGCAGCGCAGCCCGCTCGGGTTACCGGGAGCCGCCTCGCCGGGGGGGCACCGGGGGGTGGCACTTGGGGACAGCGCTGGGGACAGGCGGGGGGCACCTCGGGGTACCCCGGGGACACGGCGGGGGCCGCGGCGGCGCCGGCACCGGGCAGAGCCATCCGCCCCCCGCCCCGCGGGGC